GAGGAGGAGGAGGAGGAGGAGGAGGAGGAGGAAAAAAAGGACTGTGGGGTCCTTGGTGCTCTCTGAGCTTGGTTGCCTTCCGGGAGACATTTCATGAGCCAACTAGGTAGCGTCATCAGTGCCAGGCGGGAATGGGATTTTAATTCAATAGGCGGGAATGGCAGCTAAGCCGATAGTTGGGAGTCAAGGAAGGCTCCCTGAGGGGCTATTTGGCCGAGCTAAGAGGGTCTCATTTTTTGACATGGGATGACTTCTCCTCTACAGGGGAGGCCAAGTGGCTCCTGCAGAGCGGACTCGTGGTCCTCCTTCCGCACGGTTACGATGGCGCCGGACCGGAACATTCTTCTTGCCGAGTCGAACGGTTCTTGCAGGTAGCTGGAGGCGAATTCCGCCCTCCAGAGTTTACGCTCCTCTTTCTTCCGTTTCATGTCCCTGCAACCCCCCAAAACCCTCCTTAAATATCTCCCATCCCTGTGTTTATCCACGGTACAGGTAGTCCTCCACTTATGACCACGATCGAGGCCCGAAATTGACCTTTGAGTCGCTAAGTGAAAACCTGTTAAGTGTGTTTGCCCCGTTTTACGACTTTTCTCGCCACAGCCGTTAAGTGAATCGGGTTTTCCCCCATTTCTTACTAACGCTCGTCCGAAAGTCGCCAGAGGGAAATCACGTGAACCTGAGAGACCTCAATGGTCATAGCTGTTAAAAAAAACCATCCTAAGTCACGTTTTTCAGCGCCGTTGTCACTCCGAACAGTCACTAAATGAATTGTTGTAAATCGGGGACTTCCTGTATTCTGAATCCCATTGTTCTGACCCCCAAAAAGCACGAAGCAGACTCCGAGAAAACCCCCTTTTTATTAAGCTAGTGTGAATTCCTCTTATTCATATCCAGCAAAGTCCCGGCAAACAGTCTTTCAAGGGTGTATTAACAAGCACAGACCTTATCAGGCTTGGAGAGCTGCCAGGCCGAGATCTTCCAAACGCCAAGCTGTAGCGGCAATTACTTGGCAAGGAGTCAGGAACAGATCTTCACCCTAAAGAACTGAACTAATTGTCTCCTGCAAACTCCACTCCCCTTTCGCTCCTCTTTTATTCCCTATGGGAGGGGTCATTCACCGTCCACCTGTGGCTTTATTACCGAGTCGGCCCTTGTTCCTTCGCTGTTCCCGTCTCCCGGCAGCTCTGCCCATGCGCACACTGGGAACAGGCTCCAGCTGTTCTTCTGCCCCACTGATCTCCGACTCTGAAGGCAGCTGATAACTGTCGGACAGCCCCGGCCCTCTCTCTGCCCCTCGACAGAGCCTTCCCCAGACTCCAGGACTGGCCCCTGTTCCTCCCCAACCTCCTCACTGTCCGAATCTGCTGCCAGCTCCACTGGCCACTGGCGGACCACAACACCCACGAAGGACGCGTTTTAAAGCAAGGGTCTCCAACCTGGGCCCCTTGAAAGACTTGCGGACTTCGACTCCCAGAATTCCTCAGCCGGTGTGGGAGGAGCCAGAATTCTGGGAAAAATCCAGAGAGGATTCTGGGAGTCGAAGTCCACCAGTCTTAAAGGGCCCAAGGCTGCAGGCGCCTGGTCGAATGTTCTGGTTTTCTATTTTCCCACAGATGTGCGATAGCTCGGAGGAAGGGATCGACGGCGACCACGTGAATATGTCCGTGGTCCACCCAACCACCCCGGCGCAGTATTTCCACTTACTCCGGAGGCAGATGGTTCGGAATTTCCGGAAACCCCTCATCGTGGTGTCGCCCAAAACTCTCCTTCGCTTACCTGTGCGTAGAAAGAATTCATTTCTTATTTTAGGTTCAAAAGTTTTATTTCTTTTAAAACAAACATTTCATCATTCCTCAATCAGTGAGACATCGGAGTACAATTTTTTTTATGTGTCAAAATAGTTCTAGTTTACCACCAAATTCTTGTCTAGCCTAATGTATAGTGTGTGAAAAGTGTGAAAGTGTGAAAATCGGTCCTGTCACATTTTCCAGTGCTGTCGTAACTTTGAAGAGTCATTAAACAAACTTTTGTAAGCCAAGTCTAAATACCTGTGCATAGTACTGATATATTTTCCTGTCTTATTCATTGCCTAGACTGCCGTCTCCAGCTTACTAGAAATGGCCCCTGGAACCACCTTCAGACCCGTCCTTGGGGATTCAACAGTGGATCCTAAAAGGTCACTTGATTATTTATGTATTTAGTGTTGTTGGTTGGTTGGATGGATGGTTGGTTGGTCGATTGATTGATTGATTGGTTGGTTGGTTGGTTGGTTGGTTGGTTAGTTGATTGATTGATTGATTGGTTGGTTGGTTGGATGGTTGGTCGATTGAGTGATTGATTGATTGGTTGGATGGTTGGTCGATTGATTGGTTGGTTGATTGATTGGTTGGTTGGATGGATGGATGGATGGTTGGTCAATTGATTGATTGGTTGGTTGGATGGTTGGTTGGTCAATTGATTGATTGGTTGGTTGGATGGATGGATGGTTGGTTGGTTGGTTGGTTGGTTGGTTGGTTGGTTGGTTGGTTG